ACCGGATAGCATGATGAAGGTCTCCCACACCCTTGTTGGGTTTGGGGGAGGACTTTTGCACCCAGTCGGACGCATTGACTTACCTGTCCGCCTTGGAAGCAGGGGAGACGGTCGACACATGACCATTCGTTTCCTCGTGGTTGAAGAGCTCACAGCTTACAACCTCATCTTTGGTCATCCCACCCTTAACGAGTGTAAGGTCGTCATCATCCCTGCACTCATGCTCCTCAAGTATGAGAAGGATGATGGAACAGTCGGTCCCTTTAATGGGGACCAAAAGACGGCTCGAGAGTGTTACCTCTCGGACGTCAAGCCCGCGGCCGGTCGGGGCAAGCAAACGATCGACCTCGAAGATGTCGAGGAAAAACAGTCGGCCCCACCAGTGGAAAAGAAAAGAAAGACTGATCAGCTGTTGGTGGTCAAAAAAGAAAAACAATAGCAATCACTAACCGGGGAACGGTCGGATGATCTCCGTCCCCAGCCTGCTGGTGAGCACATTGATATCCCTCTGGACGACAGCCGCCCAGAGCGGACGGTTAAGGTGGGGACGGTTGCACTTGCAGAGCTGGGTGAAAGCCTTCATCAGCTGCTGAGAGAATTCAAAGACATCTTTGCCTTTGAAGTGGAGGAGATTCCAGGCATCAGCCCGGATCTTGCTGTCCACAAACTCGCCGTGGATCCTAAAAAGAAGCCCATCTGGCAAAAGAAAAGAAACCATGGCGAGGAGAGAAGTCAGGCGGCAGCTACCGAAGTAAAAAAGCTGCTTGATGCCAAGTTCATTCGGCCGTGCAATTTCCCTGAATGGGTAGCTAACGTTGTGTTAGTAAAAAAGCCGAATGGAACTTGGCGGATGTGTGTTGACTACATAGACCTCGACAAGGCATGTCCAAAGGATAGTTATCCATTTCCCAAGATCGACAGTCTGGTCGACTCAACAGCCAGACATGCCTTGATGAGCTTTATGGACGCCTATTCAGGTTTCCATCAGATCCCCCTGTGGAAAAAAGATCAAGAAAAGACGGCATCCGTCACTGATCAGGGGTTGTTCTGTTATACGGTGATGCCGTTTGGTTTGAAGAATGCGCCTGCTACTTTCCAACGAATGATTAATACGGTCTTCATTAATCAAAACGGAAGGAATGTAGAAGCGTACATTGATGACATGATAGTCAAATCCAAAAAAAAGGCGGATCATCTTGCTGATCTCCGAGAAACATTCGCCACACTCAGGCGGCACAAGGTCATGCTAAACCCAAAAAAGTGTGTCTTTGGTGTTGAGTTTGGGAAGTTTCTCGGATTTTTTATTGACCAAAGGGGAATAGAGGCCAACCCTAAGAAAATACAGGCGGTAATCGACATGCAGTCACCCCGTATTGTGAAGGAAGTGCAAAAGCTAACAGGTTTCTGGCGACAAGTGTCTCTACTTCTTCTAGGCAATCAAAAATAAGACCAACTTTGAATGGGGGGATGATGCAGAGGCGGCCTTTCAAAAACTGAAAACACATTTGCACTCTTTGCCAAGGCTTGTCAGCCCCTTTCCCAAAGAGAAGCTCTTCATGTACTTAGCCGTCTCTGACCATGCCCTCAGTGCCGTTCTCTTAGCTGAAAGAGACGTCACTCAGCTCCCGGTATATTTCATTAGCCATGTTCTGAGGAACGCAGAGCTTTGGTACCCCATAGTTGAGAAATTTGGCCTTGCCCTATACATGGCCATCAAGAAGCTAAAACCCTACTTCTTGGCGCATGCGGTAGAAGTCTATACTGACCAACCGATCAAACGGCCACTCACAACCTTGGAGTCTTCTGGACGAATGCTTAAATGGGCTATTGAAATGCAACGATTATAAATCACTTTCGAACCAAGGAAGGCAATAAAGGGGAAAGCATTCGCCGACTTTATTGTCAAAATGACAAGGCCGGCTGTACCAGACAATACAGACCAGGTTTGGAAAGTTTATGTGGATGGGAGCTCCACTGTGAACGGCTGTGGTGTAGGGATTATCTGTCAATCTCCTGAGGGAGATAAGTACGAATACGCACTACGGTTCAAGTTCCAGGTCTCTAACAATGAGGCCGAGTATGAGGCCCTGCTGGCCGGCATTCGGTACTGCAAGGCGGCAGGGGCAAAGAAGATAGCCGCCTGTTCTGATTCTCAACTGGTCGTACTCCAGGTTAATGGAACGTACGAGGCTACTCATCCGGCCATGATAAAATATTTGCAGGCGGTCAAGAGTGAAGTTGGGAAACTTGAAGAATTCCATCTAACTCAAGTGCCCAGGTCTTCAAATAATCAGGCGGATGCTCTGTCAAAACTAGCATCATCCGCCTCATGTGAAACGCCTCGGTCGGTCTTCTGGGAGGTCATGGAAAAGAGAAGTATATCTAATGAAGACCCCATTGGAATTCTTGACCGAAGCTCTACCTTGATGGACAGCATCCGGGCTTATCTTGCAGACGGCACGCTACCTAATTCACCCTAGGAGGCGGCTGCTCTAAAAAAGAAAGTGGCAAACTTTGAGCTGAGATAAGGAGAACTCTTCAAGGCTGGATTCTTGAAACCCCTATTGAAGTGTGTTACCCCGAAAAAGGGTAGAGAGGTCCTCGAAGATTTGCATGCGGGTGTTTGCGTCTCCCATATAGGCGGCAGGTCTTTAGCTGCCAAGGCCAGGCGGCTCTATTTCTGGACAACTCTGGAGTCGGACGCTATGGAAATAGTCAAAAAATGTGACAAGTGTCAAAGTTTTGGCAAGCTCATCCATCGTCTGGCCACAGACCTGACGGCTGTCCACAGCCCAATTCCCTTTGCCAAATGGGGCATGGACATACTTGGGCCTTACACCGCGGCCCTAGGCGGCAAGCGCTACATATTGGTAGCTGTGGATTACTTTACCAAGTGGGTAGAGGCGGAGGCGGTCAAAAACATCAAGACAAAAGATGTCATTTCCTTCATCTGGAGGAATATTATCACTCGTTTCGGAGTGCCCATGTCTATGGTCTTTGACAATGGTCCTCAATTTGAGAAGTTGAGGCTGGGAGAGCAATGGGTCTAAAGCCTCTTTGCATCAGTCGGCCGGCCACAAGCAAACGGCCAGGTTGAAGCCTTCAATAAGCTAATTGCAGACGGGATTAAAAAGAAAATTGAACGGGCTCGTGGCCTTTGGGTGGATGAACTACCACACGTCCTCTGGTCCATCAGAATGACTGCTAAAGGGGCGACTGGAGAAACCCCGTTCCTCATGGTGTATGGCGCAGAAGTTGTCCTGCCCATTGAACACTATGAGCCGACTCTTCGAGTCATGTTATATGAAGAAGAAGCTAACTGGGAGGCCATGCGGCTAGCATTGGACTCACTTCCAGAGCGCAGGGGCAATGCCACCTTGCGCCATGAGATTTACCGTCTGAGAATGACACGGGCTTACAACAAATGAGTACACAAGCGTCCTCTCAAAGTGGGGGACTTTGTGCTACGGAAAATGGAGGCAATCGGTAGGGCAAATGAGCAGGGAAAGTTGACCCCAAATTGGGAAGGTCCCTACCGAATTTATGAGGAAGTAAGAGACGGCACCTACCGCCTAGAAGAACCAGACGGCAGGCAGCTGCCTAGAACTTGGAATGTGGACAACTTAAAAAAGTACCATTTCTAAGTACAAATATAAATACCTCAAATTTTGTCATTTCAAACTTTGCTAATGAGAATATGCCTTCATTTTCCAACTTTGTCTTTTTTATAATGTATTTGGGTAAATTATGTCCCAATAACAGACGCCCCAAACTTTATGAAGGAACCGACTACTCTAGAGCAGTCGTTCCTACGAAATTCTTACTGCATTATGTTAGACACTTAACCAATAATCTCTTAAATCATTTTGAGGCCAATGGCCAGATATTAAGAAAAACGCATAGAGGTCGAATGGCCACAGTCTACTCCAATATGAGTATGACCGTCTACTCCAACATGAGTCAGATAACCGACGACGCCCATTCGGGCGAATTCGTCGAGGAGAAGCATCTCCCATTTGGGTGGAACATTGCTCTACAAATACATCAAGCGGCCCTACCGAATGCTAAGGCAGCATTCGCAGTCGTTTAGTCTAATCAAAAGTGAAATTCAAGAGGCCAAGAGTTTTCTAACTGTTCTAGCACAATCGGAAAAGGGTCACTATTTCACAAGTAGTAACTATTGAGGCATTAGGCCGGATGCGCCTGTTTTTGCTCTAAGGCAAGACAGGCGGAAAACTTCTACTGATCTACAAGTTACCTAATGAGGCCTTTGGCCGGATACGCATGTTTCTGTCTGAACGCAGAATAGGCGGACTATTACTTACGAGACTTATGGATCGAATGCGCCTGTTCTTTGCTCTTGGGGCAAGACAGGCGGATTATTCTAAAGAAAAATCAAGACTAAGCTAAAACTTAGCACCTTATCTCATTAAGGCCTAAGGTCGAATGCGCCTGCTTTAAGTTCTTGGAACAAAACAGGCGAGGGATTTCGTTTTAGCAAAATTTGCTAAGTCAAAAATATTGTATTCCGCTTAAGCCAATGGCTGAATGAAAATAATCACTCATTCGCTCCTGATGGCCGTCTGTTGCGTGGTTTGGGGCAATCACCATAGTGATTGATTGACTTAGAAACCATGTATACTCTTCTAAGTATCAATAATTTCTAAGTCAATCAATCCACTCAACTGAAACCACTCAACAACCGTCCAGGGGCAAGAACATTCGCATGCTATACAGGTTATAATACTTAGCCAAAAAACATGCAATGAAAAAATTTTAAAGAACAGCAATATGAATAACTTCAGCCAATGGCCGAATGATTTCAAATTAAAAAGGCCCAGTCGCCATCAGACGATTGGGTAAGATTAATAGCTGGCAAAGCTCGAGGAATTGTCAAATCACCCGACCCCTCGGTCGGTAAAGATACATGCATACTCGGCACGCAGGCCGGAAGATGAAATTAATGGTCATTCGGCCGCAGACATAACTACTAGAAAGCTTTAAGGGGCAGGGGGATTGCCAGCATTGGCAGCCGCATCATCAGTTGCCGGCTGCTCTTCATTATCATCAACATCCTCTTCCCCGTCTTCATCCCCGGAGGAGCCTGAAGAGGAGTCGGCCTCTTCACCATCCGCATCCTCCTCTTCAGCCCGGCGAAGGAGTTCAGCATTGTACTCCTCGTTTGCCTGATCAAACTTGGATTTTCAGATGCCAAAATCAGCATCCGGCTGTACCGCCTCCCATGTCGCCCGCATGATGGATTCGTAGTCTTCCATCATTTGTTGGAAAAGGGCCTGTTTCTCCTCCTTAGCCCGGGACTCGAACTTGGCCTTCAGCTGCTGCTCCTGGTTCGCCAGGCGCCCCTCCAGGCGGCTCACCCGCTCCTTGGCCCTCTCGGCCTCATTCTTGGCCTCTTGAAGAGGCTCAAGTTTTTCCTTAAGACCTTTAACTTCGGCCTTAAGTTCATTAACTTTGGAGCGGGCCAAGTGCAGGTCCTTCTTCACCTGCAAGTTGGCGTCCGCCTGGGAATACATCATATCAAGGGTCAGAAGCTCATTCTGAGCAATTTCAAATTGAGCTCGGTCTAAGGCGGAATCGGCTCGAGCGTTAGCGGCTGTTACCTCTTTTGATTTTTCCTGGATTGGTCGTTTGAGCCCTTGGACGCGCAGCATGGCCTGGAAATAAGAAAAGACCGAATGGTCAAAACCAGTCGGATATGTGTTAAATGTTGTGGAAAATTTAGCTAACTCTTTTACCTCGCAGAGGTTCCCCAAGATGGCATCCAAGTTAAGGGTTCCGACTCCTCTTATGGACGCCTTGTCCTCAGGATCAAGCGACCGTAGCATCTCCTTGGCCATCTGGACGACGGTCGGCCTTCGAGGGGGGGCTGCAAAATTATAAGTTAGTCAAGTTCCATGAAGCAACAATAAGAATTGAAGTTCAATAGAGATGCGGCTCATACCGTCCAGCTGGGTCTCCTCCTCCTTCTCCTTTCCCTGACGTCTCTTCTCTCCTGCTGAGCTGACAGCAGTGCTGGGTTACTTAAAGCCACCCTTTGATGCCTGAATGGCATCCGGTTTGCTGACCTCCTTGCCAGCTTTGAGAGTAGAGCCGTCCCCTCTCTTGGACTTTTGAGCAATGTGTTTCCGGTGTTTGTCGGATGCACTCACATCACCCGCCCCAGTTTTTTGAATTTTGGGTTGGGATTGTTTGGAGGGAGAAGGCCTGAAGGAACCACTCTGTTTGGACGAAAAGAAAGGCGTCAGAAAAGTAGGTGGACAAAAATGAACCTTTGTTGAAAAATATCCCAAGTATCATAAACAACTACCTTGGGATTTTCGGCTGCTTTCTGCTCGTCATTCGCCCTGTTGAGGACGTTGGTGCGGTACTTAGCTGTAGAAACAGCAGCCAGCTTCTTCGTTGCCAAGAGCTTTTCCATTGCTTTGTCTGCACCAAAAAGAAAGAGTTAGGCTTTATAAGCATACAGTGAAAACAATCTTAAGTTTACTTAAAGACAGACGGTCGACTACCTCTCGGCATCTCAGAACTTAGACCACAAGCGGCCAAGAACACCCCATCTTCTAGCCACTTGTAAAGGGGGATGTAGCTCGGGGGGACGACTATTTTATCCCCATGCTCGTTCGTCCGAACGGACACTGCAAACAGACCCCGGTAAAAATCTCCTCCTGGGCCCACCTAGGGAGAAGGGACAAGGCACTCTTGCCAGCCAGGAGGGGCAGATCCTTGTTCCACCGGTTGTATTTTTGGTTAAGTCGGCTTTCAGGGGAATGGACAATGTAGAACTTAGTTCTCCAGTCCTTCCATTTGTTCTCTTCGCCGACTTCCATCATGTACCCCTTGCAGGTGGTCAAGGTGTACCAACCTTCGCCGCCCTTGGCAGGCGCTCGGCTGAGATAGTGCATGTGGGCGAATGCCTCAAAGCTGGGATCTACCTCCAGCATTTCACATGCGGCAACGTACCCGATGATATTTATCCATGAATTCGGGACAAGTTGCCAGATACCCAGTTGGTATCCATCCAGTATCCTCTCCACGGCCGGATGGAGAGGGAAGCGTAAGCCAGCCTGAAGGACCGCCTCGTAGCAGCCGAAGGCTTTGTCCTTATAACTGGCCAGGGAGGGCCAGGTTATTGTATCCTCCTTGTTGGGGACGGATAAGGAGAAGTCATGACCCATTACGACCTTGCGCCTGTAATTGGCAAGGCCGGATGTCATGGAGGCCCGCTTGCACTGCGGGACATGGTGAAAATAGGGGGCGCGCTCCAAGCGCCTGGAAGCACTCGGCTCTGCCCAGCCCTCCCCCTTTTCTACTGACAAGGACTCCCTTGCAGTATCTATTTTTGCTCGGACCTCCTCTGACTCAACAGAGGCGCTATTAGAGGATGACGAGGCCGAATCGTCATCAGAATCTTCCCCAGAGCTAAGGGACTGCCGGCTAGGGCCAGCAGGGTCCTCCCTAGACTCTCCTCAGGCGCATGTTCTGAAGGCTCGGCCTGGTACTGACTGTCGGCTTCTGCAGTATAGAATCACTGGGGGTGCCGCTTGAGGAAGAGGGAGAGTAATAAGTTGGAGTTGGGGGAAGGTCAGAAGAGGGGTTTGGGGGGTGCTCAGAAACTTTGCTAACTGGCACCCTAATGGAGCCGCCTGAAGTTGGAGTCTCACTGTCCGAATGGTAAAAGGAATCATCTGGCCTATATCTCCTTGCTGTCTTCTTTATTCGAGCCATCGTGTCCTGCAGATGCACAGACACTGTCGGATTTGGAGATGCACTTAAAGGAAAGTTCTCGAACGAGCATTCGGCACTCCTAGTTCTAGATTTAGCCGTCCCCGGTGACCGGCTGATCGGTAACCTAGGTCGTGCCGTGTACGTTTGGGAAACCATTTGAATAAACAAAAAACACAAGAAAAAATAAAAGAAAAGAGCATGCGGTTACCTTAGTAGAAGGTATTTGAGACGCCTGGTTGGCCGAAGCAGTCGGTAAGAAAGGCCGAGTGTCGGATGCTTGACAAAATTCAAGGTCTTTAAGAGTCTTTGAGAGTCAAAAGTCCAGAGATTCTCCAAGATTTGCAAAGGTGTGAAAACAAAAATGAAGTCAAACCTTCCTATTTATAGAAAGGGGAAACCCCAATTTTCCCCCCAAAATACAATTTGAAAATTCAGCCAGTCAGATGAAGACACCTGTCACAGGTGCCACGTGCAATACACGTGACCCCTGTGACGGGCAAATGATTTTGGTATTTTATACCCTGCCAAGTGGCCCAATCAGAGCATGACACCTGTCACTGGAAGGGGCACCTACTTGGACCTTCCAGATAGTGACACGTGTCACGCAGATATTGCCCCCTGGGAATGGCAGCTTTCAAGGCCCAAATCCCAAGGGGCCCTTAAAAAACGGCGTGCCCTAATCCCTAGGTCACCAGATCCTAGGGAGGGCACACTTTCCAAAAGGACCCTATAAATAGGGACATTCCTGCATTTATGACAAGACAGAGAAATATACACAGAAAAAGAGAGAGAATATTCACGCACCACGAGACAATACGTCACTTACTACAGAGTTGTCATTCTCAAAGAACAGACAACACTTTACCTGAGCGTGGAATCCAAGCAGATAACTTTACTTCCGCACGATTTATTACTGAACGTTTACTAACTTAATCTTCGGAGGCGGACCGCCGAATGTTCGGTGGTCCGTTTGCTTTGCAGGTACAGGCGCCCGTTGTTGAACCCAGTTTCAGTGTTGTAACTCTCCCAAGGGACAAAAACCCCCGAAACACTACTCAAGCCCAAAGCACACAATTCCTACTCCTAATAAATTAGGAAACTAAAGCCCAAATAAAAATACAAATCCCTCACCTCTCTTCCTCTCTTTCACATGAAATTGAAAAAAAAAAAAAAAAACCCTTAAATTCTTCTCCTCCCTCAATTCTTTTTATTTTTTTTTTATTTTTTTTACAAGAGCAAACCTCCCTCAATTCTCACGGCAAAAGAAAGAAAAAAAAAACAAACAAAGAGAAGCCTAGCCTTGAAGCCACTGCACCACCCGCCTGCACCACCGCACCACCACTCGGACCACCGCTGAGTCGCCTTGCTGCACCGGCGTCTCCAGCCACCAGTTCACCCCCTTCTCTCTCTTTCTTCCTCTTGTTTTCTCTTCTTTTATTTTGTTATTTTGATGAAAAGCTTCAATTTTTATTTGATTTCAATTCTAAATTATTTTTATTAGGCTTTGATAGTATGTTTAATTTATAAAAGATTATAAATTTATGAGTTTTAGCATGTTCAAATTATTATATAAAATTTCAGATTATATATGTTGTATAATTTAGAATTTAAACATTGATTTTTTTTTAATTTTTTTTTTTTTATGTTTTAGGGTTTGAAAACGTGCTAATCAAGTTATCTAATTATACTATGTTTAAATTTTGTTAAAGTATAATTATTTTGATCATATATAAATTTTCAGATTTTTAAAGTTTCGATTTTTATGAGAAAGTTATGTTAATTTCATGTTTTTATGCTTCTAAGCCTACAAAATAATTATTGTGGGTATTTTATGTTTAAAAAAGCTTTGAAATTTTAATTCTAACCTTAAAAATAATTTCAGATTTTATACTTTTTATTTTGAAGCCTCTAATTGCATTGAATTGATATATTTTTGGGGTTTTTAACACACTAACTTGCTATATAATGATTATTTCAAGTAATTATGCTTATGGGGTTATTTTATATACTTAAACCAAATTTTCAGATTTATTTACTTACTTTAAAGTTGCTGTAATTTGATATTAAACACTATATTTTCATAATTTTAACATATAAACTTATAGTTGGGATGTTATATTATTAACTTTGACTATTGGGGACAATTTAAAGGCTTTATTTTGATGATTTAAGAGGTTTTAAAGTAGTTTAGTATTGCTGTAAATTTATTTGCTCGAGTATTGATTTATTTCTCATTGTTTGGTTTAGGAGAGGACTTTGTAGAAGGCGACTTCTAGTTTTAAAGTGGCCAACCGGATTGTTTACACAAGGTACGTACAAGTTACGAAACCTTGCTTGTAGGTGCATGTTTATGGACGGATCGAGAACTTAGTATCATGTATAGGATTGGCTGGGTTAAATTGAATTGTTTGGTTAAACATTGTGAATTTCAAATTATGTGCAATAGTTTATAATGCAAGTATTATTTGTGCTCTAATTATGCAAGGTGCGCTTAGAGGCAAAGGTATGTGATTGGTGTAAAGATTAAATTATTACTCATTCATGATTATGCAAACAGGATGAGTAAAGGAGGAATTCAAGTCTTATAAGACGAGGTTAAGGTTTTAGGGTGCCTTATGCACTCAAGGTGTTTATACACCAAGGTAGTAAAGGAATAAATAATAAATGTTGTTTGTCACTAATAAATTCAAGAATTTAAATTGGGAATTTACCTTGTTTGATTGAATTGTGTTTGGAATGGTTATATTGTAATGTATATGAGTCATCACCAAGTCTAAACCTGTAAATCACGTAAAGTGCAAGATGGATGAGCAATAAAACTCTGGATTGGTGCACATCTAGAGTAATGACAATCAGGGGTTATGGTACATGGGGTATTAGTCGTGTACTTTTATCGAGGCCGTCTGATCTACAAGTCTCCTATATCAAATATTATTTTTTTTAAACTAGGAGTTAGGTGAGATCTCATACTAACTACGGTCACGGAGTCGCGCCCGTGGTCATTGGATGTTTATTGATGTTTTCGAAAGGAGGCATGGGGTTTTTCTTTTATTGATGTTCCAAATGGGACATGGGTTGGACAACCTTGTCTATTGCTAAATCCAATTAAATAAATAAATGAGTTAGTTAATATCAACTAGTGAGGTCTTAATAAATTTGATAATTGAGTCATGTGTTGAGTCTGTATTTAATGATGCTTATGCTTGATTATTAGTAGCATGTTAGGTATTTCCTTAATTTATTTTGCAGCTTGTATGTACTCAGCTTTGCTGATTGCGTGCTTTTGTGTGTGTCTTTCTTTGGTCATGGCCTTCGCCTTTCAATGACCCTGTGACGATCCAATTTTTACACTTGTAATATTGGGGAGCAGATTAGTCACAGGTTCTTACACATGCATCATCTATTTCTAGATGGTGGGATCTTGAGTGGAGAGTTGGTTACTTTCTTATTTTATTTACTATTTACATTTAAAGTTATTTAAATTCAACTTTGCTTTCATACTATTTCTATTAGTTTCAGTTTTGAATAAGGGTCTTAAGGGTTCCAAGTTGTAAGATTTAATTTGGTTTTGGTTATTGGTTTTTAAACTTATATATATTTATTTTAGTTTTTCCGCTGCTATTTTCTGAAAAAGCCTTAACATTTGAACACGTGGCGGAAGCATGCCAGTAATTCTCTTGGAATTGTTTAGGTTATTCACAGGTTTTTAAGAGAGAATTATTGGGGTGTTACAGATTTTTACGTGGAAATCTCCTTGGCCCTAACAAGGAGAAAAACCACAACCACTTGGGATT